GGGGAGGCAGTCCCGGCTCCAGGGGGTAGGGTAAAGATGAGCTGTGGGTAGGGTCCATGGAGTTCAAGAGGGTAAGGGGAGACTAACGCAGACCAAATTCAATTTCATTCTGGTACTAATTTTAAGTTAAATGCGCTCGAGGTCGAAAAAGAAAATTGAAATCCAACTAAAAGATAATTGTATTTCAATTTCAATCGATGCGTTCGAATTTCCGAATTTCATCCCCCCTCCTAGTCATGGGAGAAAATGAGGGTAAAATTGGATATTTGATGTTAAAATTTACTGACAAAATACAAATATTTATGTTTCAAACCGTTTCACGTAACGAATTATTTCAAGATTTGCGAAATTGAATTTGGCCCTGCGTTAGTCTCCCCTAACAATATGATTAGAAAATCAGGGTGGGGTGTGAGGAAAGGGGTGGGTGGTATTCGAAGTGAAGGACTTTATTGTTAGCAGGGGTTTCCCCTGCGAAGGGGTCTCCCACCTCTTGTTGGACGAGGCATGGGTGGGGAGACCCAGGGGGTGGTAGGTGTCCTACATGAAGAAGGGGTGGGTTAACATGGACAAGGGTAGGGGGTGGTAGGGATTAGGTTATTCGTGTCAAGAGAGTGTTGGGTTTCAGTACAATTGCATGGGTGGTTCTTGGGTAAAAGAGGGGGTGTGGGGTTGTCTACCTAGGCAAGAACAACAACAAATATTAGCCACGGGATGGAAAGAAAGGGGTAGGGTGGGGGTTTAGAAGGGTGGTCGAGGCACAAGGGCTGAGAAGGGGGGGTCGCAAGGTAGGGTGGGGGTGGTCAGCTTCCCCAGGTTCGGGAGCTGCATTGCGGCAGGAGAGACAAAATGTGAGAAGGAGAGGGGAGGAAGAGGATGCGCAGGAGGCGAGAGGAAACATGAGACAAGGCGAAAAATGAGGGAAGGGAGAAAGGACAAAGAGTCAGATCACGCATCTTGATGTACCGTGGAAGAAAGAATTTGATAGCTTGGAGGGAGTACAGTCTAGTGCAGGCCTGTTGTGTGGTTGGAAGGCGAAGGTAGGCTTTGTAGCGCACCTCACTAAAATTCCATGACTGATGATGGAATATGTAATTATCTAGGAAGTTCGAGACTAGAATGCGTTTAGATGACGCCTTGGCGGGTTTCATCAGTCCCAGCAATTTTCAGTTTCTTACTTCGATTATGACAAGGGCATTAGCGACTTTCAGGCTTTCGAGAGTCCCAATAAGAACTTGGGCTAAGCTGTGGAAGCTGACCTCTTTTTCTCGCACTTCATTTACTATTGAATTACCGAGATTCAGATTTTCAAAGTTTTCATTTGTTCCCTCCTTTTGCACTATGTATAGATTTTGATTTGTGTGAGAAACGTCATTTGACACATGCACGACTCAAAATTCATGAAATCATACCTTCTGTTTGTTGCTATACATTTGATCATTATTTGGTAGTTTTTGCGTTGTAGCTTGATGTCATCTTGCCATGACAAATGTATTTGTCGAATCATGCTGGGTTGTCACTGTATTCTGTTTGACAAACTCCATGTCCCTGAAGAGCCTTGCCAAGAAGAGCGTTCTCAGTGCATAGCTTCAATGACCTAGAACGAGTGATGTGCTGCTACACACAAATGCCTCTCTGATACGTGCTTAATACGTTCACCAATGTAGCAGCACTGTTGTGCCTTCGTTTCTGATCTACCTGTGTTTAGGAATTGAATTTTTCATGCAATCGACTGAGCGATTCTCCGAATCATTTGTTGAAAAAAACACTCACCTAGCTTCAAAGAGACAAACGCCGAAGGCCGCGGTTGTTTTTTCTTGGCATCCTTCAGGCTGAATTTTTCGGTTGTAAACAAATTCATGAAGGACATGGGTACTTGAGGCCAAAAAACGGCGAAAGAAATATGAAAGTTCAAAAGTGAATCTGATTTCAATCATTCTTGTTACAGCATCTTGACTCAAGCAGAACTTGCAAAAATATTCAGATTTGTCTGAATTTTGATCGACTTGCCAACTTTTGACTGGAGAACTAGAGAGTGTAAAAGCTTGTCTAACTACTTGTTGTTCCGTCCCGATGGTCGAGACAGCAACTGAAATTGAGTACGTACGTGGCTATTTACCTCTTTGGGCTGGTCCTGGTAAGACACTCAGAGTCAAGTGAAGGATTTTGAATCCGCTGCAGGAACAACAGTTGCACGATTACAAGTAAGCAAGGCTGGAAGAATCTTAAATTCGTTCGCCTTTGACTCGGTTGTTTTTCTAATCTGTTCTTATCTGTATGTTAATATTCTTTCTTTTCTTTTCTTTTCTCTTTTGTAGACGAGATCATTCATTTCACTTGGAAGATCTGCTGAAAGAGTGACGTACTGCTTAGAACATCCTTCTATTAGGTTGGATTGTGAAGTGCGTGAAGATTCATTCGCTGAACTGTTTGCCAGCCGTCTGCATGCACTGATCGTACATCATCCAGTCAGTCTGTCCTTGCATCACTCTTCAATTTTGACCCACAGCTACAGCGATTGCATTCGTATTTTGTAATTGATTGTGGGAGCGCGCATGGGACGTTCCTTGGTGGTAAAAGAATTCAACCCAAGGTAGATAGTTGGAAGATATTTCACAGTTGGTTGAGCATGGGCCACAGGTTCCTGTCCGAATCAGTGATGGGACTGGTTATTCTGATAGCTTGACGTTTGGAGGCTCGAGCAGGTTGGAGGATTCTCTCGAAAAGCATTTATGTGAAGCTGAAGTTGTCCGTTCAGGGTGTATGTCCTTCACTGCTTACCTTCGGAGGTCACCGCGGCACCAAAGAGTCTGTCTACGGCTCTGAAAGCCCCTCTGCTGGATCGATTGGGATCAGTCCATGGCTCCAGCGACGCTGTTGCAGGATCTCCAATTTGCAGCCCGACGACTGCAAACAGGTCAAAAACCTAAATCAGTTCTTCTTGATCCAGACAGGAGTCCTTTGTTTTGAAACTGAGCTCATTGAAGTCTTGGTAGGCTTGCGCTTGGTTCCAGCATGGATCATTTGAGCGATGATGGCACAACAGCAGAAACTGTGCGTTTCAGATGGCGAACACCCTCGTTTTGTGACTCCAGTGCAGGCGAGCAATGTTACTCTAGACGACGTCCAGTCGACTGGCAGCGTGGACCTGGATGACCTCCAGGTTTCCATGCCTCCTTAATTTATGTGTCGCTCAAACTGCTTTCAGTCAACAGGCAGTATTGACATGGATGCTTCTAGTGTGGTAACTGATGCGTGCTCGCTGCCTTGGAAATTAACTTGCATGGAAGGTGAGCTGTAGCTCCCTTGCGGATCTTGAAGTTCCGTCCACGTCACGCGATGCCTCACAGAGCAACGATGTACATGTTATCTGGGCTTCGTTGAATTTTGCTGATTCTCTGGTTTCCCAGTCCGGTATTAGACGGTGTGGGCCATTTCCCCTTGAACCTCGTTCAAAGAAAAGGAAACGGTATTGTCGGCAACATTCACTTATCTGATGCATTGCACAAGTTTATTTTCGTTCCATCCTCTTATGGCATGCCACAGAGTTTCTTGGAATGATGATGTAACTGAAATCCCGCCACTGAGCGAGGTGACTGTCGCAGAAGTTCTCATCTCAGTTTGTTTATGACATCTGCTCTAGAGTGATTATGCTCCTCGTTATGAGCATATTGTACAGCCAGCAACTATCATCCAGCGACTACGTGACAGGTGGAAATAACTCCATTCTCGGGCTTGTGTAAATTATTTGTGCTCCAGAGATGTAACTCAGTTGACTGGCAACTGGAGAGAAAGGTAGACAATCGAGGGTTTGTTTGGTTGAATCACTGAGGCTTCTGCTCAGGTACAGAAGAAGAACTGGTGGATCGAGCTCAGGAAGTGGCTCGAATGCGGATGTTGCAAGGTGACTGATGATGACGTAACTCTAACCTCCTCACTGCCTTTTGTCTCCAGACGTAGTATGCATTCGTTATTTTCAGCCCGCCATGCAGCAGCCAGATCATCTCGACTTGCTAGTTTAGCCTCTTATCGCGAGGCATCCTTGTCGCCTGCAGATCGTGAAGGAGGGTCCCCACATCCGAACGCAGGCGACGTTTCAATAACGGCGGACTATCAGGTGTGTGACTGGCCTTCGCTTCTGCAGGGTGAGACTGAGACGACGATCTGCAGGGCTTGCCGCTGTATCAGAGCATCACAATACCTGAACCTCTCGATAAGACGAGTGAAAGGTTTGCTCTCCTGCTTTTTAGCGCTTGAATCACTCTCCCCATGCAGCGCGACGCCTCCTTCTGGAGAGGGCGGTTGGCTCTCCGAGTCCGAGGAGAGTAGTGTGTACACTGAAGAGGCTGCTTCGGAGGCTGCATCAGAGGTTGAACGTGCAGCCTGGGGCGTTGGACGTGACCTCTGGTGCGCACAGGCTGCTTCCGAAGCGGCTTCCGAGGCTGCTTCCGAGGCCGGGGAGAGTACAGATGCGAGCACAGGGGTTTCAGGTGATGCAGGAGGAGCTTGTTATCCTGCTGCTCACTGCTCTGCTTCAGTTACAGACGAGACCGACCTGTCGAAGGAGAGCAAGCGTCTTGGAAACAAGAGCCCGCCCTTGCGGTACGGCAGCACCGGCGTCTGTGCCCTCGCAGCCTCGCTGATCCCTTCCTCAGGGCTCCGCCGAGTCCGCCGGGCGATCTCTCAGGGCGGGGCAGGCCGAGGATGCGTCTTCCTTCTCCTCCTCCGGTGAAAGCCGACGGCTGCGATTGCCTTGTACTGATGTTGTTGTTACAGCCAACTCCAGCAGAACTGGAAGCTCGCTGGGGCTCACGCTGCGACAGCGGGTCGGATGGCGAGAGCCTCGTCGACGACAGGTGGGGAGAGACAGTGAGGACTAAGTTTGTCTTACTGGTTGATCAGAGAGCGACGTCAAGGAGGAGAGCGAGAACGAACAAGCTTGCGTGCGCTGGATGGGAAGTACATCGACTGACTCGCGCTTCGCTGGTTGTTGCTCGAGAGGTGAAGCAAGGTGGGAGGGTGCAAGGGGAAAGAAGGTTTCATTTGTACACTAGTATAGCGATATAGTAGAATGTGACAAGAGCTTGTCTGGGCACTTTATCATCGTCATAAATGACAGATTAACACTTGGAGAGCAAACTCTTGCACTACATGCTTCCCTACGGCACTAGCGCGTTCTCCCACTCCCTATGCTTCATGTAGATACTGCTGACTTCTCGTCCTCTCTTTACGCTGCTCTATTCCTCTCCTCCTCTCCCGTCCTCTTCTCTTTCTCACTTGCACATCTCCTCTCTTCTTCTCTTGTTATGTTTCTCTTGGACTCCTCACTCTCTTCTTCTCTTGTTCTCTTCTTCTCTTCTTCTCTTCTTCTCTTCCTTCTCTCCTCATCTTCTTCTCCCCTCCTCCCCGGCATACTACTAGTGACCGCTAGTAACATTGTCGTCCCCCACCACCCCTACCCCTATCTTTAGGCATTTTTCTACCCCTTTCCACCATTTTTTGATCTTCACCTTTCTCCCTCCGACACAAGTTTCGAAGCGGCAGGGAGGAGTAGACGAGGACGAGGACGAGGACGAGGACGAGGACGAGGACGAGGAATACAGGACGAGGAGTAGAGGAGAAGGAAAGGAACTGTAGCAGAGGAAAGGGGAAAAAGAGAAGAGGAGGAGAGGAGGAAGAGATGGTGCTGGAGGAGGATAGTAATCATGAGCGCGCAGGATGAGGTTTCCGAGGACTGCTTGCTTTGCTGTCCTGACGCGACAACATTGCGGGGTCTGATCAGCTTCAACAGGTGGTCATGTGAAGTGGCTCGGAAAAAAGCGTGAGATGCAGGAGAGTGAGGAAGCACAACGGTTTGCGTTGTTGCTGGTCTGAACAAACAGCTGAGGGATCGAACAGGGATGTCAAGTCGAGACTCGTTGATGTTGGGAAGGTGAGGAGGAGGTGGAGGAGGAGGAGGAGAGGAGGGAAAGAAGAGAAGGCAGAGGTGAAACGCAATGTTGACTTGCTGGCAGATCTTGAGGATTGTGCGGTACAAACGCGATGTTTCAAGAACTTCATGGGAGCTTTTCTTCTTCCTCCTCTACATCATTCTGTAGCCTCCTCGACTTGTCTTGCTCTCCTCACACGATAAAGGTACACTGCCGTCATCATCCTGCAGAAGAACGCCATCGACAACCAAAGCCTGCAAGCCTCCCTGCGCAAACACTTCCTCTCCAGGTTTGCTCCTCTCCTACCCTTCCTTCTTCGTATCCTCCTTCCTGCCCCCTCCCCCCTCCCACTCTCCCCTGCTGATCTGCCTCCAGGTTTCGTGACCCGACCTCACTCAACTCCTACAACTTCCTTGAGATTCGAACTGAGGACATGTTCTGGTCCTGGCACGAGTTCTTCATCAAGAGTCTCATCTACGTTGAGGTGAATCTCTCCCTCCCTCCCTCCCCTCCCTCCCTCCCTCCCTCCCCTCCCCTCCCTCCCTCCCCTCCCCTCCCTCTCTCCCTCTTCTGCTCTGACGCGCTACTGCTGCAGAACTACGAGAACGGCATGCCGAGAGCAAGCCCCAGAAGGAACATGATCCTCCAGGTAGCCGAGCAGGTCAAGAGGCTCCACTGAATGTTTCCTGCAGCACAACAAACTCACGTCAGGGTTCCGAATGACGCAGAGGAGAGCAAAACTTGAGACGGTGAGGAGCAGGAGCAGGAGCAGGAGCAGGAGCAGGAGCAGGAGCAGGAGCAGGAGGAGCTGTATCTTGGACGGATGTCACTGAGAGCTTGTTTCAGTGTCCGTTTGCCGATAAGAAGTACCTCATATTCGCTCCGAGCTGCGCGGGCAGGACATACTCGGAGGGTCTTGCGGGGTCGGTGGACGAGTCTCCTTTCCTGGGAGCAGCGAACAAGACGGAGTTTGTGTATCAGGTGCACAGAGAGAGGAGTAGTGATGGGTCTTGACCCGAGTTGCAGAGCATTGATACCCTAGGATCGAAGGAGGTCGGATACTTCCAGATGTTCGGGCTGGACATGCAGGCATCGGAGTCGCAGCTGAAGTTGCTGAAGCAGGAGAGGTGAGATGAGCATGAATGAGAGAGAGGGTGAGGGGTTGGCAGGTGGATCAATCAGGGAACTTCGTGGTACAGACTTGACTTCGTGGTGTACAACCCCAACGTTGCCCTCTACTGCAAGATAAACATGAAGATTATCTTCGACAACACAGGTTGCTCTGGCGATCTTGTGTCAGATACTCTTCAGAATACTGCTGCATGTTGTGGTTTAGTTGCTGTCCGATGTGATATAGTTCCCCTATGATCTCCATTCACAGGGCTTTTCATCCCCTCCTACGACTCCTACACTCTTCCTGCGAAGGTCTATAATGGCAGCAGAGGGCAAGCGAGGATGGGAGCAGAGTTGGCTTTCCTCGTCGTTGCCTTCCTCTACCTCCTGGATCGCGGCTGGTAGACAAATATCACCTGCAAGCCTACATGTTGATACTGCAGGGACCCAGGTACTACCTGTCCCTGGCAAAGGAGCACAGGAATTTCCTGCAGCCGCTGCAAAGCACGGGCATGCTTCTTTCGTTAACCCAACTCCTCTTCCTCCTCGTTTCCGTCTTTCTCTGGATCGCAATCATATCAGACGGGGTCAGGTCCGATAGTCAATCTCACCTTGTCAACCTGATCTTGTGAACCCTTTCATGTCTTGCAGGAACAACTTGGTCTTCTCTTCAACCTCCATCACCCTCAGCAACGGGCAGCTGATTGACTTCGATCGTACCTTCAGTCTCCTCCCCTCCTCTACTCACTAGCACCGCAGACGTCCATGAGATGTACCGGGCGTACAACATCTTCAGCGGCCTTCACTTCCTCTCCGCAAGCCTCAAGCTCCTCTCCTTCTCTCGGATCAACCTCAGTACCTCCGTCCTCTTTGACGTCATGCTGCAGTCCATGGGAACTCTTGCCCAGGTGTTGCCCTTGCTGCTGCTGATGATCATGCTGCTGATGGAGATGACGATGACGATGACGATGACGATGATCTTGATGACAGTACATCGTCCTCATGCTTTTCCTCGTCATCGGGTTCGCTGAAATGAGCATGATCCTCTTCGGAACCTCGCTCCAACAGTTCTCAACATTCGGAGGTGCTCAATCTTCTTCTAACTCCCTCCCTGATGAGAGCATGTGCAGCATCCTTCGTGAACATGTTCGAGATGATCAGGAGCGGGTGGAGTATCTTCGAACTGATGGGCGTCAACCCATACTCAGCTCTTGTGCTGTGTCTTCCCTTCCTCATCATCATGTTCTACATGTCGTTCAACATCATCGTCTGGCTTCTCCTCAAGAGCCTCGAGCAAGTCAACAAATCTCGTCACGAAATGCAGCTCTCCGACTTGGCGGAATTTGCGAACCTCCCGCTCTCTAGTCAGGTGGAGGGAGGAGAGCAAGGAGAGGGAAGGGAGGGAGGGAGGAGAGCAAGGAGAGGGAAGGGAGGGAGGGAGAAGGTAACCAGGGGCTGCAGGCGAAGAGAGGAGCAGAAGCTGTCTACATCAGGACGATGAGGAGGATGAGGAGGAGGAACAGACAACTGGCTCTGTGAGATGAAGGGGAAGGGAGGAGGAGGAACTCATGGAGAAAGCAGGGGCAGAATGTTCTCGGATGACGAAGAAGCACGAAGATTAACGAGATATGATCTGAGCGATCTTGACCAGGTCCCTCCCTCCTCCTCTTCGTTCTCTTCCTCCCTGACCTCCTTCCCCTCTTCTTGCCCCTCTTCCCTCACCTTCTTCCACCTTGTTCATCTCGTCCTCGTCCTCGTCCTCGGACTCGGACTCGGACTCACCACCACGACCTCCTCCTCCTCCTTTTCCTTCTTCTTCTCCTCCTCCTCCCCCTTGTTCATCTCGTCCTCGTCCTCGTCCTGGTTCTCATCCTCCTCTATCATCACGCTCTTCCCATCTCCCCTCACCCTCCTTGCTCAGATTTTTCTCCTGCTCGACCTCGTGAAGGGAGAGAAGGAGAGGGACGTTTTCTCCTTCGCTGAGATCATGGCGGCTCTGAGGAGCAGGGACGTGACTGCCTTGTGGATGGAGGCGCTGGTAGACAAGTACCACGGTGATCCTTCTCCTGCTCCCGATCTGCATGACGGGAGGCGACAGGATGGGTAGAGGAGCGGAAGGAGGAGGAGGAGGAGGAGGAGGAGGAGGAGGAGGCTGCGGTATGTGGTTGCCCTGCTTGCTGCTGGGTGCATGACGGAGGATGTAGCTGACCAGGATGCTGAGACAAGACATGCAAGGGATAGCCGATATGCAGTGAGACCCCTCCTCCTGCCCTGGCAACCACCCCTCTCCCTTCCTCCACCTGTTTTGCGTTCTTCTCCTGCTCTTGTCTTCGTTACTCTGTCTCTGTTCTCCGCAACCCAATCACTTCATCTCTTCTATCCTCTATCCTCTATCCTGCCTCGTGCCTCGTGCTCCTCCCTAGCAGCAGGTGCAGCAGCAGCACATGCTCGCATCGATTTTCTGCACTCTTCTCCCTCCCGCTTCACCTGCCTCTTTCCGCCTCCCTCCTTGTCGTCCTCTTGTGCTGGAACCAGGCTGAAGTCGCAGCTCAGGAAGGAGATTGAGGATAAGTTCGACATCTTCCTGGAAGAGGTGGCTAGGATCCGCCCGATGGAGCCAGGAAGGGAGACCTGCTCACAGTCTTCGAGTGACATGTTGTTGCAGATTGACATGTTGTGAAAAACGACAAGATCAGATTGTTCATATGCTCGTAACTTCTCTTTCCAAATCGACTACCATCGTCTTTCTCTCATTATCTCCTCCACCTCCTCCTCCTTCCCTCTTTACCCTCTCCTCCTCTCCCCAACCTCTCTATCTCACATCCTCCCCTCCTCCCTTACACTCCTCCTCCTCTTCCCTTTCCACCATCCTCCCTTCCCCGTGCTCGCTCCTCCTCCCCTCTCCCCTCAATCTCCCGCATGTGCCGCAAGTCTTGATCGGACGCTGTCCGACAGCTTCGCTATCTGAGCAACTTTCTCCACGTCCTCGTCCTGATCGACTCAAGTCAGAACAAGTCGCATGCCCCACTACGTCTTACCCTGAGGGCCCTGCCGTCCAGCAGCGTGTCGAGCAGCAGCACTCCCCAGGTGCTCCCCTGCTCTCGGTCAGACATGCATGAGTAGGAGGAGAGGGAGGAGAGGGAGAGGGAGGAGGAAGCGGAGGGAGGTAGAGGGGGAGGATAGGAAGGAGGAAGAGGGCTGGGGAGGATCGAGGAGAGTAGAAGCGAGGAGATGGAGGAGGCACAAGGAAAGGAGGAGGAGGAGGAAAGGGTGGGAAGGGGAATGAGAAGAAAGGAGGAGCGTATCGGGCGAAGAGGAGCAATGAAACCAGTTGATCAATGAAAGAGAGAGAAAAGGGAAAGTGGATTGAAAAAGGACGAGGGCAGGTGAAGTTAACGAACAGAGGATGAGGAAAGGGAGGGGAAGCAAGGGGCGGTCAGAGGATGAGGAGGGGGGTGGGAGGGAGGACAGAGGAGGAGGAAGGGGATGGTCAGAGGATGAGGAGGAGGTGGGAGGGAGGACAGAGGAGGAGGAAGGGGATGGTAAGAGGATGAGGAAGGGGGAGGACAGAGGAGGAGGAAGGGGATGGTCAGAGGATGAGGAGGAGG